GAACAGTGTGGCTCCAGGGAGAATTAGCCCAGGCACTGGGGTGTTCTCGTCAGACGCAGGGGATGGTGGAGGCAAAGGACACGGCTTCCTCGGATACCTTGGGAGTGGAACTGGGCAGGTTCCAGGTTGAAGTGGCATTTCCTGGGTCAGGGCCAGAAAGTTAGAGACGCCAGGATACCTTACCCTGCTCAGTTTCACAGACCCTGGGCCCCCAGACGCCTGGATCTGGTAGGCCCCTTTCTGATGGGCATCTCCTTGGGGTGAGGATGATTGGAAGGCTTCCCTGCCTTCTGGGTTTACTCTGTAGAGCTGAATGGGTTAGCTGGGCAGAAAGGGATGACTCTGTCCTCCCCTCACTCCAAAAGACCACAGGTCAAGTCACCAAATCTCTCAGAGCCTCAGTTCCCCCCACTAGTACCCAAGGCCCTTTTTACTGCTGGGATCTCAAGGGGATGCTGATTGGTGGACATAGTGAAGCCATAGAGAGACCCTGTCTGCTGGGAGGCACTGTTGTCTCTCAGGCTCCCAGCCCTGGCTGATCTAGGGGTTCAGCAGCCTCCAGGGTCCTCTGCTGGGTTCCTACCCACTCCCAGCCATGACTGGGGGAAAGCACCAAGTCCTCTCTCGCAGCCATCTGCTAAGATACACACATTTCACACTGGGAAAGGCCCAGACCCCCCCCCCACAGTGGGTACTACCTGGCCTCTCAGGCATCCAAGACAAAGGACTTGAGGAGCCCTTGCTGCTAATCGCAACAGTCCTGGCACTGGAAGATTCTCAGCCCCTTTGCCCATCCCCCACCAAGGGCATCTGGAGCAGATGGGAAGCCCCTGCTCCTGAAACAGACTCATTCCCACCCTCAGGCCCCTCCCAGCCCAGCCACCAGCTAACTAGGGCCTCCCCCTCCTATCTGGGGGATGGGTAATGAACAGCCACAGTCAAGGACTGTGCCTGACCAGCCTGGAGGTGCCTAGAGGAAGGTGTCCCAGCTGCAATGCCAGAAGGGTCACCCTGATTGGACCTCTGGACTCCCAGGGGACCAACCAGCTATAAAGGCCTTCTTAGGAAGACCTGTGAGGCCCCCACCCCTCCAGGGCAGGGATGGGGAGGAGGGCCAAGCCTGATGGAGGCAGGCAGCTCTAAGGGAAAGATGAGCAAGGGGCTTCAGACACCCACTGCCAGAGGACGAGGACACAGCTCCATCCAGTCTAGGAAACTGGCTGGCATGCCCTTCCCATAGGTCCGGATGCCCACCGGCCCTTTTCCACCCTGAGTCTCTTTCCTCATTTATCAAATTGGGATTACCAGGTCTCTTGTCACAGGTTTTGACGATTTCAGGTGAGGATACAGTCTCTGTCAAGTTGGCCAGGCATGTGGAAGGCATGGATGCTGGTTGGATTTTCCCAAGGGATACTCAGGAGGTATTAGAGCCCTACCCCCCAACACCACCATTCCACGGCTGTCCCAGCCCACGTGGGGACTTCCACCGTTTTTTATTATGCAGAGCAGGAAGGATGCCTCTGCTAAGGTGGAGACATGGGGTAGACGGCCAGGCTTTCCCTGCAAACACTCCCCTCTAACACCAGCAGGCAGGCTCCATCCTGGTCCTGAGATCAAAACAATGGCTCCCTCTGTCCAATCAGCAACAGAGGTACTTGCTAAAAATGCCCAGTTCCCAATCTGGCCACACTTGTATTAGAATTCACCAGGGTAGAGCCTGGTGCAGCCACCTAAAAATCACTGGGTCAGCAGCTGTGTCCCACAAGCCTTGCTGGGGCTACAGTCTACACTCCCAGAACTGGGACGGGGTGGATGACTGGCCCATCACCTGGCTCTGGTGTCCTCTGATCCTAACTCAGTGTCGGGTACTCTACAGCTCCTGAGGGAGGAGGGTTCTAAGCAGAGGATGCTCTGGCTGGACCCAGAGACCCTTGCATCAGCTAAGAGAGGGTCCCTCCCTCATTGCTTAGCACACACCCATGCCAGCCACAGGGTTCCCACCATCCTTGAAAAGGGAAAGGGCCCTCCCCACTCAGTACCTTGTAAGGAACTGTCTCCAAATAACAACCACACGGGAGGGGAGAAGGGATCCAGGGGCAGCTTTGGGAAATGCTTAGCCCCTCACTCTGCCTTGATTGAGGGTCTCTCCTCTGAAATCCCAATTCCCACTTGGGTAAAGAGCCCGCCTCACTCTCCCCTGGGAGGCAGGAACAGTCCGTGAACCTTGCAGAGGCACATGAGGCTGAGAGATCAGGCCAGGAGCACAGCACACACACCCCAGCTTCTCCTTCTCTCCTAAAGAGTCCCAAATGCCTCCCCAAAAGCAGAACTGCAGGCCCCAGCCTCAACATCTGGTCCCCCAGCCACAGCTGTTACCCTCCTCCCTTATCCTGGGATTGCCCCAAACCCTGCCCAGCACTGGCACCGCCCTCTCCCATAAGTGGGAAATTCAGATTCCAGGAGAATCCAGCTGGGGAGACAGAAATGTGCATGGGAAAATGTCGTGAGGAAAAACACATTCTTCACTCCTCACCAGAGCCAGCACAGACCCTGGAACAATTTAGGTGGCCAGTGGACCCTCCCACTACACAGGGCCAAGGCTGGGCCAGTCTTGGAGGGGAGCCTAAGATGCAGAGGTGAGGTCCAGCTGCCCTCCAGGCCCTAGGGAGGGTCCCTGGCAGACCTTTGTCAGCCTAGTGTCGGATCTGCCCTCTGGCCCCTCACTGGTACTCCCACTAAGGAAAGAGGGCTGGACATTAAATGGCTATGGCTACCCCTTTGCAGTTGAGTTTTTTAGAAACAAAAGCTTTGTGGGGACGAGATTTACACGATTGTTTAGAATGAGGTTTGGGGATGTCTGTGGCATCCAGTTATTCATACTGGCTCCACCCACGGATAATTGAGAGTTGGCTTTTGTTGGACATATCCTTTCTCCCCGCCCCCACTGACAGGCCAAGCTAGTCTCAGGACTCAGAGAGCTCACCTTGCCTGACCCTAGGTTTTACAGATGAGGAAACTGAGGCCTGGACAGAAGAAGAGCCAGGCCAAAGAACACTCAAAAGCTGGTGGTTGTACCAAAATTTGAACCCAAGACACAATATCAGTGTCTTGGCCAGGAGCTTTTCCCCATTCACCGTACACACAGATTGTGTCCTGGCTCCAGCAAGCCCCCAGAAGCCACTGACCCCGAAAGCAGTAGTGCCTGGAAGTGGGGTGACTCATTGTCTGGCTTCCCAGTCCCCCACCCCATCGATGAGGGAGGGCTGGCAGGTGTCCCTGTACAGAGAGCCAAGACGGGAGAGTTGCCCCAGGGGGCCTGGGCTAGGGTCACTCTGGGGCCGGAGAGCCCCAGCTGGAGGGATTTAACACCAAAGGTCAGGGGTCACAGACAGGGAAGGGCAGGCAGGCATGGGGGTCAGGGGGTCAGCACTAATGGTAGCTCCGGAAAGAAGGGGGAGGGGGAAAGGCTAAAAAAACAGGGCTGCTTCCAAGGGGTCCCCACCCCACAACCCAATGCCTGGAACCACCTCCTGCTTTACTAGTGGCACACAGGGACACACTGAGCTGGGAATGTGCTGTGAAATGGGCTAGACAGCATCACAGCAAGGGGTGTCTTAGGAGACCCCCCCAGGTGCAGCCCCTCCCCCAGCACAGGCCAGGGCCAGCTGTGAGGCCCAGTCTGAGCCCAGAGGGAAGAAAAAAGGAGAGGGAGGGCTCTGAGGTCACCAGAGAGGGATGTGTGGGCTGGACAGACAGCTTGTGGTACTGTGCCACCAGCGTGGGACCTGGGGAGAGGAGGGCACAGTGAAGTGATCGCTTTACACTCCCTGAGCCTAGGGGCTTCAGAAAGCTGGCAACGATAGGAATTGTCTCCCTAGCCTGGTTCAGCCCCACCTTCCTTCCCGGGTGCCAGGACATCTGGGAGGCGACTGTGCCGGGTACCTGCCACGGAGGACCAAGGATCAGGCTCTAACCCTGGCCCAGAGGAAGACCCATGGGAGCTCAGGCCTTGGTAGGGCCATTAGCTGGCCTGGCTGCCCCCTTGGTGTCAAGCATTCCCTCTAGAGCCAAGATCTTGGGCTGTGATGGCTGGGGGCCCAGGGCTCCTCCCAGCATCCCTTCCAGCTTCCCAGGCCCCAGGGCAGGGCTGGGCAACTCCCTGCAACCAGTGCTTCCCGGCCAGTCTGGGAAGGCCCTCCAGGATAGGCAGACAGGCAGCATGCTGCCCTGTTGTGGCCAGAGTCCCCTACTGGGCAGGGCAGTGTGCCAAGGCGTCCAGGTGCCAGCCTGGACTCCAGCCCCATCCCAGGGGGCCTGCGAGGAGGCACAGGAATCTTCCTGATAGGAGGGGGATGCACCTGCCTAACCCCCTCCTCCAGGCCCACCCTCAGGATACAATCACTCATCCTCCCCATCCTACCAGGTCCCTCACCTGCTTCCATCCACCTTGCACGAGTGGACCAAACGCTAGACAGTTCTCCAGCTCCCAGTGCTGAAACAAGGGACGTCCCACTGCCTGCCTTTCCTAGGGCTTACTAAGGGCAGCAAGAGGGAGACTTTCACCAGACAGGGAGGGCACCTTCCAAACAACCTGGGCGCAGCAGCGAGCAAAGGCGGCTGCCTGCTGCCCCTTACAACTTCATGCCCAGGCTCCGGGTGCCCCTCTCTCATATCACAGCGCACCCCCACCGAGACAGCCCAACTTCCCCACTGAAGTTTGCGCCCGCCCCGGGCCCGGCCGCAGTTCGGCTCGGCCTCCAGACAGAAGGAGGGAAGGGAGGAGAAAAGACGGAGAGATCGAAGGACCCAGCCAGGGAGCGGGCGAGGGAGGGAGAGCGCAAACCAGCGAGCGCAGGGGCCTCAGCGAGGGCTCACAATGGCCCGGGGCGAGGCGTGGACGCGGGAGGGGGAGGCGACCCTCGGGCCCGGCGGCCCCGCACAGCAGGCAAGTCCCCGGCCCGGTCCGCGTCCTCCCGGTGCGACGCACGGGGGCTTCCTACCTCAGCGGCCGGGCTGACTGGCTCCGGCTGCGGGTTCCGGCGGTCGGGGGGCTGCGGGGGGCGGGCGCGGGGAGGGCCGGGGCGGGCGGGGGCCGGGGCGCGAGGCTCACGGGGCACGGGCTCCCCTGGCGCGGCCGCCCGGCGCCCGGCCGCTCCGCCACATCTGCAGCTCGGGGCAGGGAAGGTGGCCGCGGCGGCCCGGCCGTGCGGGGATGTCTTTGCGAGGGAGGGAGGAGAGAGGAGGAGGAGGGAGGGGGCGAGAGGAGGGACCGTCGGCCGAGGAGGAGGGCGAGGAGGAGGGGCGCGGGGGGCGGCCTCCCTCCCTCGCGGCTCACTCGCTCCCGCCCTCTGCAAACCCCTCTCGCCACCGCGGCCCCAGGCCCGGGGCGCCAGCTGCCAGGCGGAGCGTGCGCGTCGGGGGGAGGGGGCGGCCGGCTGGGCCGGGGGAGGGGAGGAAGGGCGGACAGCCGCGGGAGCGGGCACCGGGAAGGAGGGAGGGAGTCCCGCCGTGGCCGAGACGCGCGTCCTCCTCGACGCCCCCCCCTCACCCCCTGCGCTAGCCGCGGTTCCGCCCCCGGCCCGAGGGCAGCGCTAGGACACGGCCCGGAGGTGGCCTGGGAGGCGGGGGGAGGACGAGATATCCCGCCCCTGGGGAAGCCTGGGAGAGGGGCGGGCGCGCCGGCCTGGAGGAAAAGCCCCAAGGACCGGGAAGATGGAGGAGGCGGCAGCGGCCGAGGGGCGGGGACCCTCGCCTCCTCCTGCGGGGTCACCTTGGCCAGGGCCCCCGCAGCCCTGCCTGGGCAGCGGTGAAGGCGGTAGGAATTCCTCTCCGAAGGCCCTGGTTTCCCCGCCCAGCCCAGTTCCAGGAATGCTCAGGCAGAGGCCTTTTCTGATACTGACAGGTTCGAGGCCACGCTCCGCACTTCCAGCTCTGCCTTGTCTTCATTCTCAGTTCCCCTCCTGGTGAAATAAACACAAGGCCGGGCCCCAGTCAGTCCAGGATTCACATATCTTGGTGGCAGCAGCCGGGACAACCTGGGCCCCCCAGCCTGAGCACCGCAGGGGTCACCGCACTCGGGGTCAGTAAGTTCAATGAGTTGGTCACTGAAAAGTGGATGCTAGTCAGTGACGCTTGCGTACAGCAGCTAAGCTGTCGTCCACCTTTTCCTGGGGAGCTCGGGCTTGTGTCCTTTAGTGTTTTCTTTGGGCGATTCCTGAGTCCGCGCCTAGTATCTTCTTACCTATCTTCTGTCTGGGTTCAAAAAGACAGTCCTCCTGATCCGAAGCCGGAAACGGAAAGGCACTTCAGATCAGCATCCCCAGTAAGTGAAGTACTGACTCCGGTTTGGATTTCTGTTTTCATTTGGGCATTCGATGCCGCGGTCTGTGCCAGAACCACATCAAGACGTGGGTGCTGATCGCAGAGCATCCCGTCATCAGGTACTGCTCTTGGCACACCCGCCTGAAGTGGTGCACAGGTAGGCACATAATTGGTGCTCTGAAGGGGTGAACAAATGGACATGTAGTCAGTACTCTTAACTGATTATGTAGTCATGATGGTTGCTCGTCGCATTTTGAACGAAGACACATATTAGGTGCTTGTGATCTTTCAGTACAAGAAAGGAATTTAGGAAGGACAGTTCACTAGGAGCAAAGGCAAGGATAAGGTTGCTCCCTCCCACTCCGTTTCTCATGTGTGGGTAACGTCGCAGTGCTGCCCGGTTAAACATTAGCTGGCAGATGGACCAGGGAAGGCCAGCTCCGGGACCTAAAGCTTTCCAGGAGGGGGCTGTTAAGGGCCGACTCTCCGGATCCTTTCACTAGCGGAGCATCACAAGAGTCAGAGGTGAAGGGCTGCAAAGCGCCCCCTCCCGGCGACTTGAATGTGTGATTCCCTTTCTGTTAGCCTAGTCCCAGCATGGTATCTCAGCCAGGCTGACTGCGAAACTGGCTGGCTAGTATAAATCTTAATTAAGCAATTTAGCATATTGAGGAGCTGGGGATATAGCTCAGTACTACAGCGAATGTTCCTGGGTTCGATTACTGATACCAAAAAGAAGTATTAAATGCTTGTAGGACACTAGACACTTTAGGGACAAAAAGCCAAACAATCCCAGCTGGGGGAGACTTGGCCCTAAGAAACTTAACCTTCAGAATTTTTTTTGTTTATTTTCCCCCCAGGGAGAACTCAGACCCAGGATCCTGAGGATCTGGGGACATGGAGGTACATTTTGGGTTTTTTTGTTTGTTTGTTTGTTTGTTTGTTTTTCCAGACAGGGTTTCCTGTGAAACAGCCCTGGCTGTCCTGGAACTCACTCTGTAGACCAGGCTGGCCTCAAACTCACAGAGATCCACCTGCCTCTGCCTCCCAAGAGATTAAAGGTGTGCACCACCATTGCCCTTCAAGGTACACGTCATATAGGCTAATGACCACCATTAGATGGCAAGCCTGGCCCAATTCCAGGACCTAGCTGGTGTCCTCATAACTACTGGGGGTCAGTGGGGGAGGGGCTAAACAAAATTTGGCTGTTTCCTGAAAAACTAACAAGATTAAGGAAAGAAACCTGGATTCCAGCACTTGGGAGAATCACCACAAGTTGGAGATCAGCCTGAACTACATAGTGAATTCAGGGCAGCCTAGGCTACAAAATGAAATCCTATCTCCAGTATTTAAAAAATAAAAGTGTTTGAAGCCAGCCTGGTTTACATAGCAAGTCCCAGGACAATTAGGGCTGCACAGGGTAACTCTGTCTCAAAAAGAAAAAGAAAAAAGAAACAAAATATTAGATAAGAGTGAGGATAGGCACTCGGGAGGCAGAGGCAGGCAGATCTCTGTGAGTTCGAGGCCAGCTTGGTCTACAAGAGCTAGTTCCAGGACAGGCTCCAAAACAAACAGAGAAACCCTGCCTCGAAAAAAACAAACAAACAAACAAAAAAGAGAATGAGGATAGAATGCCCCACAGTCCCAGTTGATAGACCTAACCAAGAGAATCTGAATTTTAAGGCCAGCTTCAGAGCCAAGATTGTGTCCCAAAACCCCAATCCTCAACCAGACCAATTCCTTTTCTGTACCAGTTTCTCTGTACATTTTCACTATATTCCCAACAACTTCAAGAGCAGGTCCCATTATTCTCATTTTACAGAGGTAGAAACTGAGGCAAAAGGACATTAACATAGCCAAAGGGTTTTCTGTTGCTTTTGTTTTTCCATACTGGGTTTCTTTGTGTATCCCTGACTGTCCTGGAACTCCCTCTGTAGACCATGATGGCCTGGAACTCACAGAGTTCTGCTTCCTGAGTGCTGGGATTAAAGAACTACACCGCCACTGCCTGTTGATAACCAAAGTTTTATAAACTAGCAGAAGGCATAATTCAGATTGCAATCTCAATGGATCTGAGTTTTGATTACAAAGCCTGTACTTGAACCCACTGCCTCCCTAAGGCATCAGATATCTGAAAAGGTAGGGGACCAAAGGGTTTTCTTGGGATTCTTCAAGGTAAACAATGGATAAAGAGGCCGGGCGTTGGTGGTGCATACCTTTAATCCCAGCATTCGGGAAGCAGAGGCAGGTGGATCTCTGTGAGTTCAAGACCAGCCTGGTCTACAGAGTGAGTTCCAGGACAGCCTCCAAAACAATACAGAGAAACCCTGTCTCGGAAAAAAAAAGGATAAAGAGGGCCTCTTCCTCTCTGGTCTTGGTCTCTTGGTGGTGGGTCTTCCTCCCTTGCAGCCAGCCCCTCTCTAAGCAGGCATTCTGCCTTGGATGCCAAGGACTGAAAGGAGGCTAGTTTTCCCTAGTAGACAGTAAGCCCCCAAGGTAGGACTCACTGATACTGCTCTGTGTTCTCCCCTTGAGGGGACTAAATGCTTCCTAAATAGCACTGACTGATAGATTTGAAGGCTGAAGCTGGTGTCCTAATCCTTGATTAGCAAACTAGAATTTTACTGGGGTATAGTGCTGCGGCACAATGCTTGTTAGTATCACCCAAAACAAAGCAAAAAATTAAAAACATGCATTGAACATGTCTTCAGGACACATCCATTCAACAGATAATTATTAAGATTTTTTTGTTAGTTTTTTTGAAACAGGGGCTCACTGTGTGACCCTATCTGAGCTGAACCCGTTTTGTAGACCAGGCAGGCTGGTCCTGAACTCAGAGAGGTCTGAAGAGATGACTCAGGGGTTAAGAGCACTCCCTGCTCTTGAAGAGGACCTGGGTTCAGTTCCCAGCACTCACATGGTGGCTCACAAACATCTGCAGCTCAAGTTGTAGGGGGATCCAATGCCCTCTTCTCAATTCCACAGGCATCAGACACTTTATGTGGTACACACACATGCAAGCAAAACACTCATACATAAAAAATAAGTCTTTATAAAAAAAAAGGAAAAACTCACATAGGTCTGCCTACCTCTTCCTCCTGAGTGCTGAGACTAAAGACTGTGACACTAGACCTAGCTGAAAATTAAGCTCTTATTTGTTCATTTGCTGTTTATTGAAGGTTGACTGTTCTGGGCTAGGCAACCCCACCCATGTCTTTGAGTAGATCACTTAATCTAGGGGACCTGTGACCTGTCATACCCCCAAAGGATTGCTGCTCATGCTCATCAGGTACATATACCTTCCCACTTCAAGAGTGTCGTGTGCCGGGTGTGGTAGCACACACCTTTAACCCCAGCACTTGGGAAGCAGAGGCAGGGGACTTCTGTGATTTTGAGACCAGCTTGGTTTACAAAGAGCTAGTTCCATGACAGGCTCATAAGCCACAGAGAAACCTTGTCTCGAACAAAACAAAACAAAGAGTGTCATGTACAATACAGAAGTTTAAAGGCTGGTTCTTCAGTGAACACATGGGGTTAAGTCTACAAGAAAATCAGAAACATAAGGAAGATCCTATCTTTTTAGAGTCTGAGGTAGAGTATAAAAGATGCAAAAACAGTATAAAGAAGTGAGTCTTGAGCTCAATGGCAATGCATTTTCCTAGCAAGGCCCAGTTCCAGCCCTAGCACCACCAAAAAGAATTGAAAGGTTGACCCGGCGTTGGTGGTGCACACCTTTAATCCCAGCACTCGGGAGGCAGAGGCAGGCGGATCTCTGTGAGTTCGAGGCCAGCCTGGTATACAGAGCAAGTTCCAGGACAGGCTCCAAAACAATACAGAGAAACCCTGTCTCGAAAAACAAAACAAAAAAGAATTGAAAGGTTGATGTAGAGGCAGGAAGATCAGAAGTTCAAGGTCATCCTAGGCTACACAATAATTTTGGGCCAGTCTGGTATTCCAATTAAATGGCAGGGAAGTTAAATGGGGGGGGGGAGACATTGGTTGGGATATAAGAAAATAAAAACAAAACAACAAAGGATTAAATTGGGGCTGAAGAGATGGCTCAGCAGTTAAGAGCAATTGTTGCTCTTGCAGAGCTTATGTTGGCAAAGCCAGGTGTGGTAGCATGGGCCTTTAACACCAGCACTCGAAGCAGGTAGATCTCTGTAAGACTGAGACCTTCTGTTGAAAACTGGAGAAACCATAGGACTCAGGGTGAATAAACAGCTTTCAAACGCTGGCCCCTGCCTGTAGCCAAGCAGACTTCCTAAGTCTCACTCCCTACCTATGGAACCACAGGCTGCAGAGTCCTTTTTTGGGGCTGCACGAAGTTCAGTGGAAGGCTCATGGAAAAGGCTTCCAGTGTGGCTGGAAGAGAATAGGAAACAAATGGTAGCTATTATTGTTATTCTCAAAGCTTCAGCCCATATTGAGCAAGGCCTAGGTAAAATGAGTGATAGAAGGAATGAGCAGAATGACTTATTAACCTTGAGCTATGGGCATTGTGAGCAGTGAGCAACATTCCAGAAATTCGTTGGTTGGTGCTGGCTCTGCTGAGTCTGTAGGGCTGGGGCTGTCTATGGGTGGGGTGTTTACTCTGGAAGTGGTCCTGGTTGTTCCTCACACTCTTCTCCAGGAGAAAAAGCAGGCCTAGAGTGAGAATGAAGGCCAACCCTGAGTCCGGCTAACAGTGCAGTAGCACCTGCCTACAGGGCCAAGGAGTCCTGGACACATACTCCTAACCTAGCTAGGTATGGCAGATTCAGGACACACTGACAGATCTGTCCTAAGGAGCCTCAAGTGTTCATGTTTCAGAAGTTGGGACTAGACCCTGGATGCTCCAAGGGGAGGAATAACACTGCAAGTGGGGATATCCATATGGGCTACTCCACCCCTAGAAAAGTCCTCACTGGATTCTTTCAGCAGTCTGGCTTCATGGGCAAGCAATCCCTCCCTGCAGTTACATTGAGCTGGCACGCTGAAGTGACAGAGCTGGTTGGAATGTCTGGCTGTCCCCAGGGCCTGCATTTTCATTTTGCCTAAGAAGTCTGTTCTGCATTGTTGCTTTGGTTTTTAGGGGGACTTCACTTCTCCCTCACAGATGAACACTGAAACAACTTGCCTCTTAGCTACACACAGTAAGACAGGAGGGAGGTCCTTACCGAAGCCCCCGTTGCTGAAGGGTATGGTTCATGGACAAGCACTAGCCACCTGGAGGGCCTGCTGTGTCATCCCATCAAATCTCAGCTCACCTTGAGCTCCTGGTGTGATAACACTACATCAGTGAAATAGTGGAATTGTTAAGTTTAATTTTTGACTTCTTGTTGGGAGGTTTAAAAGATAGTTCATATAAAGGGCACAGGGCCTGACAAGAAATACCTGCTCAGAAAATTAGAATTATCATATTCTCCTTTCGAAGCACATGATCAAAAAGGTCAAGCTCAGTTGTAGAATGCTTGCCTAGCATGCTTGAGGTACTGGGTTTGAAACCCATCCCTAAAAAAAAAGAACAATTACAGGCACCAAGAGGGAGCTAGCAGCGGGTCTCCAGCATTTCTACCGACCTTTCCCAGGGGAGAGGAACAGTCCTTTCCCTGGCCTCTTTGCTTCTTCCCTCGCAGGGAGGAGACCCCACAGACACACCCTGGGGCAGGGAGGACCGACGGAGGAGCGGCCGCGACACATTTTTGAGTCGTGACCAAGTGGAAACTCCCTCCCCAAAGCGGAAGCCGGGGGCGCCCCACTGGGGCCTGAGCCTCCGCCGGGGCGGGATCCCAGGCTGAGGGCGGGGCGCTGCGGGTGAGTCGGGCCCCGCCCCGCCTTATGAATATGAATAAGGTGACAGGGGGCGGAAGTGCGAGGGGACCCCAGCCCTGCTGGCTAGGCCCACCCCGCGGGAGCCGTGCGGCTGGAGGCGTGGCTAGCCATGGGCGCCCCGCCCCTCCTGCTGTGCGGGGCCTCCTTCCGGCCCGGCGCGCCCGAGAGGTGACCTCGCGGGTGTGCTCCCCTGCCTGGAGCAGGGAGGAGCTCGCAGCCGCCTGTAGGTGTGGCGGAGCTTTGTCCCGCTGTCCGTCGGTCCCTGCAAGTCCCCTGATCGAGGCTTGTAGGAGAGGCTGGGGGCATTCCTTCATTCCGGCACCAGCACAAAAAGTAGAACAGCCCTGTCTTCCTGGGGCTTTGGTTCCAGTTGCAGTGAAACATCCAATAAAGTCGAACCAGTGGGCTGTCTGATGAATACAAGGAGAGGACAAACGGGAGAGAGTAGTCGAGACGGTGACTTAAGACCTGAAGGAAGGGACTTAGTGGTAAAGTACTGCCCAGCACCACATAAAACCGGGCTTGGCCATGCAAACCGTAACTCTAGAAGGTGATGAAGAAACATCAGGATTCAAGGTCAGTCTCAGCTACATAGCGATTTTGAGGTCAAGATGGGCTGCATAAAATCCTGTCTCAAAAAGACCCGAAGGAAGCAGAGGAACGTACCACGGGAATGCTTTTGGTCGAGCATGCTGTCCAGTGTGACTAGCGTGGAGAAAAGAATGGAGTTACGATGATAATGGCTCATAATTTTGAGCAGGTGATATGTTAAGTGTTTTATGTTGTTTTTGTTTTGTTTTAATTCATCAGGACAGCTGGAAGTGGGTGGTCTCCTGTTACCTGGAGGAAATCAGGCTCAGGGAGGTTAAGATACTTGCCTGATGTCACTCAGCTTGCCATGCAGACATTGGGAGCTGAGACTGATGGCTGTTGTCACTGCCTGAACCGTAAGTGAAGGCCAGCCATGGAAGCCTTGAGCAGAGAGATCTTCAGGGTTGGTTCTCCCTTTCCCACCCTCATTGCTAGGGTTGGGGACCAAGACTGACTCCAGAGGCGAAGGATGGGCAGGCAGGACCTTTGCTTCTGTGAACAGCTGGAATGAGCACCCTAGGTAGACCACAGGCGTGCTAAGTCATCATGGATGTCGCCTTCTGAGAGATGCTTTTATTGTCACCTCTCCAGGCTGTGCAGTCAGGTACAAGTAGTGGGGAGGCCAGGAGGGTGGGGGTGAGAAGGGTAGAGGTCGTGAGAGTAGAGGGTGTGGGTTGAAGAATCTGTGTGGCTGAATACTTGGAAGCATTGACAAAGGCAGTGTCAGCCAGGCAGGCTGTGTCTTCCACCAGCAACTCAAGAACTGGGGGGATCACCCAAGCGTCCCTCACAGTCTGGAGAGATTAAATCGCTTCTAGAACCTAAGACTGCTCGCCCTGTCTAGAGCCTTGTCTAGTTCACCCCTTCCCCAGCCTGGTGCCGCTGTCTACCCTGGCTGAGTTAGGAGCCCAGCCTAGCCCGGTGTCTCTAAGGAAACTTCGATACTGGTGTGAAAAGACCGTAATGGAACTCCTTCTCAGCCCATTTGATAAGGAGACTCTTCGATGGTATATGATTCTCCCAAGAGGACACAACCATTAAAGATACAGGGATGGGATTCAAGTCCAAATTTGATACTAGAGAATAAAAAGGATATTTAACTTAAAGGGAAAAAAAACTTTCCCCAAAACAACTAGGGGTAGACCAGATGATAAATGGGCACAATGAACAAGGGAAAAGGACACTTTCTATTCTCAGTTCCTGATCCTTGTCCCCAGAGTTTTGTGTCTGAATGACTCAGCCAACCTTCCTTAGGGTTGCACAGATATAGGTGGGGCCAGCGGCCTTTTAAAGGGTACCTGGTAGTATCATCTTAGTCAGGTTAGGTCTGGAGCTCCATCTTAGCTGGGCACGCTGGGTTCTTGGGATATTTCCTCTTACCTAGGTTTTGAACTACTGGAACCACTGTATGTTTGTCACTGACCAAGTAGGCATCAAGAATGGTATACGGGGACTGGAGAGATGGCTCAGAGGTTAAGAGCACTGACTGCTCTTCCAGAGGTCCTGAGTTCAATTCCCAGCAACCACATGTTGGCTGACAACCATCTACAATTCAATCTGGTGTATATGTAATAAATAAATAAATCTTAAAAAAAAAAGAATGGTATACCAGGCATGCTGGGTAGTGGTGGCACACATCTTTAATCCCAGCACTAGTAGGCAGAGGCAAGTAGATCTCTGAATTCAAGACCAGCCTGCTCTACAGACCAAGTTCTAGGATGGCTGGGCTACACAGAGAAACTCTGTGTAGGGAAACAACAACAACAAAAACCCAAACAAACAACCCCCCCAAAAAAACAAAAAACAAAAACAAGCAAAAAAGCCAAAAACACCCTGTCTCAAAAGACCAACTAACCTCAAGTTTAACCTGGTCTACAAAGTGTGTTTCAGGACAGCCAGAAACCCTGTCTCAAAAAAAAAAAAAAAAAAAAAAAAAAAGAACGGGATGGGTTGTTAGGGGCTAGAGGGGTGGCTAAGTGGTTAATGGTTTTGGCTGCTCTTCATAGAACGTCACCCACATGGATGGCTCCCAGTACCTTTGTGGCAGCTCACAGCTGTGTGCAATTCCAATTTCAGAGGATCTAACACCTTCCGGTCTCTGAGTACATCAGGCAAGCATGGAGTGCACAGACAGACAGGCCGGCAAAGCCCTCATACACATGAAAGAAAGAAAGAAAGAAAGTTTTGTTTTTCAAAGCAGGGTTTCTCTGTGTAGCCCTGGCTGTCCTGAAACTCATTCTGCAGACCAGGCTGCCCTGGACCTCAGAAATCCACCAGCCTCTGCCTCGCAAATGGTGAAATTAAAAGCTTACACCACCACTGCCTGGCTTAAATTTTGTTTGTTTGTTTTTCGAGACAGGGTTTCTCTGTCACTTTGGAGGCTGTCCTGGAACTAGCTCTTGTAGACCAGGCTGGTCTTGAACTCACAGAGATCCGCCTGCCTCTGTCTCCCGAGTGCTTCCAAAGCCACAGAGAAACCCTGTGTTGAAAAACCAAAAAAAAGAAAAGAAAAGAAAAACAAGCAAAATACAAAATAGTACTCTCAACCCCTGGGCTTGGTGATTTTCATCTTTGATAGCCCTTCTTGTCACATCTCTGAGATGCCCCAGGTACAAGAGTGCCATCCAATCCCAGCATCCCAACCAAGTCCCTCCTCCCAGTCTGAGTTCTCACTTACTCAGGAAAGTCCTTTTAAAACCATTCTCACTGTAACCATTCACACTTGTGCTTAATACTGCCTCGTTGCTGGCAGTGGGTTCAGTTTGTCCGTTTGGACCTTAATGGGGACACTAGAGCAGTCAACACAGCAGCTTATGGCTACTGTTTGACTGACAGCCATCTGGTCATTCACCCACATCCCCAGTGCATAGAACATTGGCTACTAGTCTTTTGGGGGTTTGCCATATCCATTCTGTTCATTCCTTTTCTGGGGGTCAATTTTGGGTTTTGCTTTATTTTTTGTTTTTCGAGACAGGATTTCTCTGTGTATACCTGGATATGCTGGAACTCACTCTGTAGACCAGGCTGGCCTCAAACTCATAGAGATCTGCTTGCCTCTTTCCCCCGGTGTTCAGGGATCAAAGGCATGCACCACCATCGCCCAGCTCTAATAGTTTTTTGAGGTGTTCAGCTGGTCTTTTCGTTAAATAACTGTCTAGGCATTGGAGGACATTGTTGTGACAGCCACATTTTCTAAGCCCTTAAGGTGCTTTTATAATACTGACCTGGGGCCTGGAGAGGTGGCTCAGTGGTAAGAGCATTTGCTGCTCTTGCAGAGGACCCGGGCTCTGTTCCTAGCATTCACAACCATGTTTGACTCCAGCTCCAGGGGGTCCCAGTGCCTTCTGACCTTCAAGGGGATCAGCCAAGCACATGGTGGATGTACGAATATGCAGGCAAATCTCGTACACATAAAATAAAAATAAACACATCTTTAAAATGCTGACATGGAAGCCGGACTTTTAGCTGGCCTAGCACTGAGTTTCATCCTCAGCAAAGCAAAAAGCAAACACCAATTTCAAAGGGGAGAGAAGGGAGCTTGGAAGATGGCTCAGTGGATAAGAGCACTTCCTCTGTAATTGTTAATCCCCGATTGTCAATTGATCTGGAGTCAGCTAAGAGATAAACTGATTGGCACCCTTGTGAGGGACTGAGATAAACTGATTGGCACCCTTGTGAGGGACTGTGTGATAAGGTAGGTTGAAGTGGGAAGTGAGTGGAGGCTTCTGTTGCAGATCAGATAACAGGAGGTGTGTTAAGGGAAAAGCTTTGCTTTCTGACTCATTTGTCTTTTTGTCTGGGTCCAATCTGTTCCACTGTGGATGCCACCACGTTCCTTCACTGATATCAGCGCTCATGTTCTTTAAGCTTTCAGTGTGGACTGAAAACCAGTGGCTCTCCAGGAATCTTCCAGGGTTTTAACACCAAGTTTGGACTACTGAGGCATCCAACCTCATGGATTGAGTAGCTCTGGGATTCTCAGCCTTTCCAGTATGGGCACAGACATTGTTGGATTACTCAAACCGTATTGTGTAAGACACCAATGTAATAAATCTCCTTTTAACATTCATTCTATTGATTCTGTTCCTCTAGGCAACCCTGACTAACATATATGGTGCATATGGACCCGAGTTCAAATCCCCAGTACCTAAGTAAACTGCTGGGCATAGCTGAGTGTGCCTGTTATCTCAGCATTCTGGAGAAGACAGATGGTTCCCAAGATCTCAATGGCCAGCCAACCTAGCCAAAACCTTGAACTTCCTTCAAGTTCAAAGAGAAAGCCTGTCTTAAGGCAGTGAGGTGAAAGTTAATAGGAAAAGATGCCCAATACCCTGCTGTGGCCTATATAAGGGCACATGCATCCAGGCATTCATGTGCATGAATCACACATACCACACACAATTAAAAAAAAAAGTAGGTCTGGAGAGATGGCTCAGAGGTTAAGAACATTGGCTGTTCTTCCAGAGGTTCTGAGTTCAACTCCCAGCAACCACATGGGGGCTCACAAACACCAATAATGAGATCTGATTCCCTCTTCTGGCCTGCAGTGCAGGCATACATGCAGATAGAACACCCTATACATAATAAATAAATAAGCTGAAAAAATAAATAAAAAGTAGGTCTTAGCAGGATCTACTGGCAGATGCCTGCATCCAGTGGCAGCTAAGGAAGGAGAGTTTTTTGCTTTTGCTTTATTTTATTTTATTTTTTTTTTGGTTTTTCGAGACAGGGTTTCTCTGTATTGTTTTGGAGGCTGTCCTGGAACTCACTCTGTAGACAAGGTGGCCTCGAACTCACAGAGATCCGCCTGCCTCTGCCCTCCCAAGTGCTGGGATTAAAGGCATGCACCACCAACGCCCAGCAGAGAAGTCAAGTTGAAGGCTTCCTGAGCTCCGTAGTGAGTTCAAAGTTGACCTGAATAACTTTGCAAGATCCTGACTTTAAAAAGGGTTGGGAGCCGGGCGTTGGTGGCACACGCCTTTAATCCCAACACTCGGAAGGCAGAGGCAGGCGGATCTCTGTGAGTTCGAGGCCAGCCTGGTCTACAAAGTGAGTTCCAGGACAGCCCCCAAAGCCACAGAGAAACCCTGTCTCGAAAAACCAAAAAAACAAAAACAAAAACAAATAAAAAGGGTTGGGAGTTTGGGAATATAGCACAATGGTAGAGTAACAGAGAACAAACATGAGGGTGTAGGTTCAGTCCCCAGGAGAGAGGGGAGAACGACACTGTAGTGATACACACCACATTGGAAGCCGAGGTCAGGCTAGGTTGTCTAGCAAGACCCTGATTCAAGTATCGTCTACCAGACTAGGAAGGTTGGGGACTGAGAGAGTTCAAGCGGCAGCTTAGTTCTTGTTTTTGTGTGGCTTTGGTTTCATGAGACAGGGTTTCTCTGTGTTAGCACTGGTCATCTTGAAACTCGTGCAATAGACCAGGCTGGCCTTGAATCAGAGATCCACCTGTCTCTGCCTCCTGAGTTCTGGGATTAAAGGTGTGCACCACCATTGCCCAGATGCCTATAATCTTTTTTGTGATTGTGTGTGTGTGTGTGTGTGTGTGTGTGATTTTTTGTTTTGTTTTGTTTTTGTTTTTGTTTTTCCAGACAGGGTTTCTCTGTGGCTTTGAAAGCTGTCCTGGTACCAGCTCTTGTAGACCAGGCTGGTCTCAAACTCACAGAGATCCGTCTGACTCTGCCTCCCGAGTGGTGGAATTAAAGGCGTGTGCCACTACCGCCTGCCTCTTTTTTTTTTTTTTGTAATTTTTTTTGTTTGTTTTTTTTTTTGAGACAGGGTTTCTCTGTGGCTTTGGAGGCTGTCCTGGAACTCACTCTGTAGACCAGGCTGGCCTCGAACTCACAGAGATCCACCTGCCTCTGCCTCCCAAGTGCTGGGATTACAGGCGTGCGCCACCTTTTTCTGTAATTTTTAAATTTACTTTTGATGTACATGTGCTCCACATGCATGTGGCGCCAGAGGAGGCCAAAAGAGGGCGTCGGATTCCCTGGGACAGAAGTCACAGAAGGCAGTGAGCGGCTGCGCGTGTGCTGGGAATTGCACCCGAGAGCAGCCAGGTGGTGGCGGTGCACGCGGGAGTCGGAGGTTCACAGCAACCTTGCAGTGTTACACTGTCTTATCTGCAGACAGGAAGAGAGTGATGCTACTAATATTAGCGAATCAGGGTCACATAGCATAGGCTAGGCATTGAAGCTGAGATGGTTTGGCTCACAATGGCCATGATGCCTATGGAGGCATTTCTGGTCATTTCCTACACTGTTTGGCAGAGTGCTGTCCCACTGCAATGTCACTGAGTTTTCATACAGGGCCATGCTAACACCGGACTTCAAAATTATCTATGATCTCTATAGATGGATGCTTGTCACCGGCTCAGAAGCTATCTGTAAGGCTGGGGTGTGGCTCGGTGGGTAGAGTTGCTGCTTAGCATGCGCAGAACCTTGGATTCGATCCTCAGCACTGCGCAAACTGGGTGTGAGGGTCCACACCTCTAAACCCTTGCCAAGTGGAGACAAAATGAAAAATTCAAGGTCTTTCTCGGCTACACTATGAGTTTCAGGCCAACCTGGGGTCTACAAGAAACTGTCTAAAAGAATAAAAATTGTTGTTGCCCCAGGGGATGTGTGAGGAGGAGTGAGGTTCCTCCTGGTGCGGAGTCATATCTCCTTAGGTCTTGGGCCGGGTGTGGTTGGATTTTCTTTAGTTTTACTCTTTTGGCCTTTTGAGGGCCCTTGGCTCTTTTGGGGTGCCTGCCACCCAGCTCCCAAATAAATAAATCACACATGGAGCCTTATTCTTTGTGTGTGTGTAACAATCCTAACTGTCCTGGCCCTGGCTCTGCAGAACAGGCTGGCTTCAAACTCACAGAGATCTGCCTGCCTCTGCCTCCGGAGTACTGGGATTAAAGGTGTGCACTACCACTGCCTAGCCTTATTCTTTCTTTCTTTTTTTTTTTTTTTTTGTTTTGTTTTTTCGAGACAGGGTTTCTCTGTATTGTTTTGGAGGCTGTCCTGGAACTCGCTCTGTAGACCAGGCTGGCCTTGCAGAGGCATGCGGATCTCTGTGAGTTCAAGGCCAGCCTGGTCTACAGAGCGAGTTCCAGGACAGCCTCCAAAACAATACAGAGAAACCCTGTCTTGAAAACCAAAAAAAAAAAAAAAAAGTAATACATCTTTGCATCATTAAAACAAATGTTCCAGAGCATAAACAAATGTAACACATATTAAAATAATATTCCACAACCCAAGGCTTTTCCCAGTTTCTTTTGGATGCTGTTCTCAGCTCTTAAGGATGCATGCCAGGCCCTTCTGTTTGTCGATGACCACTTCTGGGTTTCAGAGACGCTGTGTTTCTTTCCTTGCTTTCTTGGATCAGCACAAAGACCTGTGTTTCTCCTGTGATATGAGCCCACCTGTCAAGCCCAATTTCAAACAAGTTTTTCCAGCTGTCTGACTGTGTGGTGTTCATTTTCTGAACCTCTGTTTTCCATTTGTAGACTGGGGGTCATAGCAGTCTCATTCAGAGTGGCTTCAGGGTTAGCTGGGAGAATAGAGATGAATGCTCAAATATGCTTAGCACCTTGAGCTTCTAGTTGGTTCTTGCTTCATGTGCGGCATCCTTGTGCAAAGGTATGCCAGCACCCAAGCCTGTGATCTTCCTGTTTTTCCTGGGAGATTTCCCATGTCTCACAATATGCAGGGACCTCAATGCTGGGTCTGAGGTCAGAACCCTCGAGATGTCCCTCTCCTCTTAAGTCTTGCAGGAACCATGGCCCATTGTCTCTGCTACAGATCTGCAGTATAGAAACGTTGCCCCGTGGTCAACAGGGTTGGATACTGGCCATGGCCATGAACTGCCCTGAGTGGGTGCTGAAGAAGTCAGCTTGAGGCAGGAGGGGCAGCTGTGTGGTAGGGCCTGCGCCAAGGATTCAAGGCTCAAGCGGCCAGTTCTGGCTCCTGCCAGAAACCCTCTTCCTCCAGCTCTGCTCCCCTTTCCCAGGCCTGCCCCTGGCGTCCAGCTTCTCACATTTCAGCTTCTGAGTTACTGGCTGTGCACAGCTACTGCGGCTGTGGCTGCAGCCTGCCGGCCTCCGCAGCAGGCAGATGTTAACTCTTTATGCGCTGCCACCAGTGCCAGCTTCTCCAGGAACAAGCAGCAGGGACCCAAAGCCTGGAGGGCAAGAGTGTGTTAATATCAGTCTCTGGCGTTGACCTCTGCCCATTTTTCACTCAGCGGTTCATCTAGCCGCCTTCTTTCTCACTGGCTCAAGGACCTTGACATTTGGACCACAGAGCATAAATTAATGCCACCTTGCACTTTATCTTTAATTTCACACATGGTGATGGTTCCCTCCATAGTCCTCACTGCACCCAGCTGGACACTCCTCTGGCACCAGGCTGCCTCTGACCATGGCTGGTGACTCAGCACCAGATGAGCCCCTGAGCTCAGAAGCCTATGTGGAGGTGTTCTTCAGGGCACCTGAAAGGATCTAGGCTTTGGCCCTGCTCAGCTTTCACAATAGACAGTGAGTTGCTTGGATCTGGATTAGGACTTGGGATGTGTCTCAAAGGTAAAGTCAGAACATTAGCCAGAGCCGTATTGAGTTCACACAGCTGGTTGCTCAAATGCTGCCTCCTTGAGCAACACACACACACACACACACACACACACACACACACACACACACACCTCCCAGGAAGCCCAGGGGTGTTGAGCCTGGCCCTCCCCAGGGAAAGTGCCTCTCTTGGTTCTCTGGCTCTCTCTCCTACCTTAAAGACCTTAAAGGGCTATCATGACAGCAGCCCCTGTCACTTTCCAGCCTGACCAGTTCCTAGACATTCTATTCCAGTTACTAAGGAGAGCGACAGGCCAGGGGTGTCACTCAGTGGTAAGGCTGTGGGTTCCCTCCTCAGCACTGAAAAAGAAAAGAAGAAAGCAAAAGAAGGACTCAAGTGTCCCACTGTGTCCCCTCCCTTTGTCCACTCCATGCGAGGACAGCCAGACACTTATGGGACCTGGGAGCTGCACCCCGTACTTCTCTCCTGTGCTCCTCAGCTC